TTGTTGGTGGTGGTGGTGGTGGTGGTGGTCGTCGTTGTTGTTGTTGTTGCTGAGGATGTTGCTGCTGTTGCTGCTATCCATGCTGCTGTTGCCGCTGTTATTGGTAATGCTGCTGCTGCTGCGGCGGCTGTCGTTGTTGTTGTCAATGTTGCCGACGCTGCTGCCGCTGCTGCTGCTGCTGCTGCTGTTGCTTCTGCTGTTGTAATTGTGGTTCTGGTTGTGGTTGCAGTTGCAGTTCCCGCTGCGGTTGTTGTTGTTGCTGCTGCCGTTGCTGTTACTGTTGCTGTTGTTGTTGTTGCTGCTGCTTCTTCTGCTGCTAATCCGTTGGTTTCTTTGTTTGGCTGGTTGTTTACTTGCTGTTTGTTTGCTTGATTGGCTTGTTTGTGTCTTGCCTGTTTGCTTGTTTGTATGTAGGTTTGTTTGCTTCTCTGCCTGTTCCTGTGTCTGTCTGTCTGTCTCTGTGTCTGTGTCTGTGTCTGCGTCTGCGTCTGCGTCTGCGTCTGCGTCTGCGTCTGCGCCTGCGTCTGCGTCTGCGTCTGCGTGTGTGTGTCTGTGTCTCTGTCTCTGTCTCTGTCTCTGTGTTTGTGTGATTTTTTGTTTGCTCGTTCGTTCGTTGGTCTTTTTGTTTGCAGCTGTCGCGTTCGCTGACGTGATGGTTGCTTTGGGTGTTTGGCTTAAGGAAGTGTCCAAGCTTTCGAATTGTCTAAACATGAACAACGTTGCCTTAGAAACCTGAGTAGCAACTGTCCCTCCGCTATCGGCACATAGACTGCTGTCAGCCCAGTCTCAAACACCGCCTGCCCCACCCACCTGCACCCACCATGGTTGGGCCGGCCAAGTGTTTAAACGGCTTAAACAAACAAATGTTTAAACGCATTTTGTTTGAACGAAAAGGCGGCCTCCGGGCACAGTGTTTAAACACGTTTAAACGTTTAAACACGTTTAAACGTTTAAACGACATGGCCGGCCAAAACCTGCCCTGGATAGGATCCCCGTCCCCCAGCCACATGTAAGCGAGCATTTGTTCAAGCAGGCTTCCAATGTCACTGTCTAGTCGTCCAGATTTACAATCTCACCCTCTCACCCTTCTTAGGTGTCACTACAGTCACCGTCTCAGACACTGACCAGGCCAGTGGGGCCATGCACGCTTCCGTCTTTGCTCGAGAATGGGCGGTAAATGCCAGTCGTCGGTGCCGGCGCCCACTGCTGGAGAACACCCGCTCTGCTGTGGCCTGACTCGCGCGCACGCCAAGCATGTAGCGTGCCACCGGAGCCATGAGAGGGTACTGCACAACGCCAATCTCCTTCCAAAACTTCAAGGCATCATGGTAGCCAGGCTGTGGGGCGACCAAGTACGCGTACACCTGCGTTTTGAGGTCAAGCTTGAACTTTTGCCAAGCTTTCTCAACAGCCTGGTCGCTCCTGTCAGGAATTGGCCTGACCGCTGCTGCCTCGTTTGAAGAAGCTGCCTGGCTTGTGTCTGGGGGCTGGAAACGATTGAAGAAGCTCGTGCGCTCTTCAATGGCCCGCCGTTGCCGAGCGTTGGGGTAAGGGATCTCTGACACCACCCTTGTGTTGTCTGGAGGCTCGTCGTGCAGCTGCCCATGAATCTTGTAGCACTGCTCCAGAAAGGCTTGGTTGCGTTTCCTCTTGCCGTCCATGTCCGCGCCGGGCAACCAATGCAAAGACTTAAGCTGCGGGTCGCACATTGCAGCGCCAGTGAGCATGTCTCTGCTCTTTGGTGTAAGCTCTTTCTCATAGTCTTGGTACTCCTCCGGTCAGGGGTGAAGCGCCTCACAGCCAAAGTTACACACCTCTAATTGGGAATCCTTCGACCTTTCAGGCCACGACCGAAGCGGTTTAGAGTTTAGGGTGTTAGGGTTTTAGGGCTAGTGGTTGGTCTTCTTCAGCTCCAGAAAAATCGGTCATGTGAGAGCTGCAGCACTTCGTGATCCGTTGTGATGCACCCTTGCTGGCTCAGCGGCACATCCCACATCTCAAAGCATCGCGCAATCTCTTGCCTTTGATGGTCTGCAGTCTTGGACTCGTCCAAAACGACAAGGCCGCCGCACAGCGTCACAAGTTCAAACGCGGGCGTGACGAACTGAAAAATGTGACACATAAACGCGTCGCCTGTTCCAGGCGCAGTGCATAAATCCCCAGCATAGTGAATGACTGTGCTGTAGTCTGCGCGGGCTTCTTTGAGAAGCGCCCAAGTTTCCTCTTCCAGCCCGTGGAGGACCCTCGGCAGAACCTTGAACCTCATCTTCTTGCGGCTGCAGATCTTGAACTTCGGATCGAGTGTGGACATAAACTGCACCAGCCCGGGGCTTTCGCAAGCACTGATTGGAAGCATGTCCTGAGGGTGAGGGTGCGCCACGCTTGTGACACAAGGGTTGCAACGACATGTGGCGGACATGCCTGCAGCTAGGAAAGGTTCAGCAATGTGCGTGGGCTTGCAGCTGCGTTGCCATGTGGCAATGTTTAAACTCGTTTAAACGTTTAAACATGTTTAAACGAGCACCCGCAAAAAGGGAATGGTACGGCTTTTGCACGCCAGCTCCTGAATCAAGACATGTTCGGCAAAGCCGTCAAGAAGCTTCTCGTTCTTGGCCTTGTGATGCCGGCAATGCACGTCGATGGTCGGCTGCTTTTTGCTCTCCAACGGGCTCTCCGCCTCGATGCCGTGAGCAGATTTTAGGTGAATTTGATGCCGCTTGAGCTCCGTGATTTGAGGGTTCAGCGCCACGGAGCTCAAGCGGAAAATGCCGCTGGCAACGTCCGCCTGGCCTTCCTTCCCCGGGTTGCACACGCTGCAATAGTACACATTCTGCGTGACATTCTTTGATGGGGGCTGCCTCAAGTGGAAACAACTCCACAGCCAGCTTCGGCCTGTGGGCACATGCCTCTCGACGTCTGACGGGTGCACTTGCGCACCGCCGCCTGCTGAAGCCTTTGCCGCCGCCACTTCCAGCCGGTCGGCGCGGGACCGCTTGCCCATTGCCAAGCACTCTATCCTACCATTGGAAGCCGCTACCCTGCGGATATTTGCAGTGCCCCTTGCCACCGTGTTCGCACATGTCTCAACGCTGACCCCGCAATGTTTAAACAGTGTCTAAACGCATGGTCAAAGGAGGACTGTTTAAACATTGTCAAGCAAACGAGGAACTCCGTAAACGTGTTCAAACGGTTTAAAGTTTAAACGGTTTAATGTTTAAACGGTTTGGCCCGACTCTGGCACCCACCCACCTGCACACACCCACCTGCACCCACCCACCCCACCCCACCCCATCCCACCCCAGCCCAGCCCAGCCCAGCCCAGCCCAGCCCAGCCCACCCCCACCCACCCTCGCTCCGAAGAGTGACGCGTGTCTCGCGGGCCTGCTGCGGAGATTCCTGGGAGTCACCGCCCATCTGCGTAATGACCTGCATCTCTGGGCATGGGAAGGCGTCCTTGTCGATGACCTGTGTGCGAAAAATGACACGACGAAACCACAAACAAACGACACCAAACGCAATTCAAACAAAACACAAAGTCAGAAACCCAGTCAAAACAAAGAAACAAACAAAGAAGCACTCAATCGATCAGGCAAACAATGGCTGCTTGGCACACCATGCCAGGCATTGGGTGTGGCAAGCTCGAAATAGGATGACGTACGGGGCCTCATAGGGGGCCTCAATGCTGACAATTGGGCTTCATCATGCCCCAACAGGCGTAAAATCAACGCCATCTACTCTCACGTCTGCGTTCCGTGTTTTTGTTTCTTTCTGTGCTGTTGGTTACCTTTTGAAACCTGAACTGCGCGGCCGGAGTTTTGAAAACCATTGAAATCTGACAAATCATTGCATTCTAGGCAGGGTCCAGGGCTATTTTAGAGTGCAACGCTTGAAGCTCAGATATATTAACTAGATGTCAGTTTAACATACTTTGAAGCAAATAGGATTGCCTTTCCAAGCACGGCTTCAACTGGGATTTAAAACGAAACTAATAAAGAAAGACAAGGTTGTTGTTTCTTCCAATTTGGAAGTTGTTAATTGCCAGGCTTGAAGCTTAAATCGGATTTGGATTATAGTTCAACTCAACTGTATATTTGAATTAGTACTTCCCTTCCAAGTAGGACGTCAAGTAGCAGCTAATTATAACTTTGCTTCTTCGGATGTAAATTGGAATGTATTTCCAAATATGAGTTCCATTAGGGTTTAATTAAGTTGTAAACAGGAATTCCTTGCAATTCTAAAACTTTAAAATACATCCCTTTCCAAGCAGGAAGTGGATTGGAACTTAATTATGCCTTAGTTAGACTTTCGCCATGATTTTACTAGGACCTAGTAGGGAAAAACCAGCTGGTTGTTTATTCTAAGCAGTTCAATTATATTTCATATTTTGAATGGGAAATCCTTTCCAAGTATCTAGAGTTTAACTAGACTGTTAACTGTCAGCTAGATAGAACCTGGTAAGGAAAGACAAGCTGATTGTTTCTTCTAGTCAACTTAAATAGAACTCTTACATTCAAGTAGATGTTTAATAGGAATGAAGCAGAGTTATTACTCTGAAACTGATTTGAAATACGAATAAGAAAATATAAGCTGTTTTTTTCTTGCGATTTGCCTGAATGCGAAACCCTAAACACCAACAACTAACGGATATATATATATATATAATGAGAAAAAGCCCAAAAAAAAAACAAAAACAAAAAACAAGCAACCGAGAAACACACAACGAACAGCAACAAACAACCCAAACATCTCAAGACAACACACTCAATGATTACACACAAACTCGACAAAACGCCCCAAACAACAAAAACAAACTACATTGCAGGCCCAATATGCTGAGGCTTTGAGCTTCTGCTATTTTGCGTTTTCTGAAAGTGCTTGCCACACGGCACATGGCGTCCGCTGTACGTGTTTTGCTATGTTTGGTACCGGTTGCAAGCCGCAAACTGCTCCATTTGGTCTCCCTTTCAACCCACCCTGGCACCCCTACGCCGCCTTGATCCTTGTCTTCACTCCGTATTGCCCAAGCTTCGCGTTCCTGGCCGATCGGAGCCGTCTCCTTTTCGGTTTCCCATTGAGACGAAACAACCTCAGCGGATTTCCCTGGGCAAAAAGCGAAGCCCTTTGTTCGGTGAATTTTCCGGGAGACCCCAGAAACTCGCTGAAAAAAGTTGACGAAGACAGGTGCTGGGCAAGAAACTTACACATGGCTTCCCAGGCAATTTCCCCTGAACAGATATGCTTGACGGGAAAGTGTAGCAGCCTGTCTCCCTGGACGGCTTCCCCCTTTCCCATTTGAAACTTGAGGTCGGGACCTTTTGGAGACCCCAGAAAGAGACGAATGGACTCCCTGACAGGGGCCCTGGCGCCCATCGACGCCCTTCGAGAAGTCTAGGTCGTCAAGGGGCCTTACCTTCACTCACCCAGCCGTTGATTGTGACTCAGTTGGGTTCCACCTCCCCCTTTGGCGTGTTGGTAACCTCCATTTGCATAAGCCCCCTGTAAAACATTTTCAGATCGCCATGTCCAGTTGTGAAATCGATTCCCTTCAAAACTCACCGTTCAAAAAACAAAAACAAACAAACATCACACACATATGTTCATTTCACCAAATGGAAGCCCCCTTCTGCTGCGCGTTTTGCTGAGAGACCTGCCCCAAACCAGGGGCTTCCTGCGCCGAGCTGCTCCAAACCTTCCTCCAGCAGCTCCACGGCGAAGTCCAGCACGGGGCTCCAGCGGTCCGTGGGGATGAGCTTGATCTGACACGTTTCCACGGCACGGCCCACCCCTTGCTCCCGAAAAAAGCGGCGGTGGACCAATGTCTCACTTGCCGAGTGGATGGCCCTGTGTGGCGCTAAAATGCTCTTCCCGAACAGTAGAGCAAAGTCCGTGAACTCGGGAAGTGAGATGATTCCTAAATCCAAGGGATTCAGAAGGAATGAAGGTCCAACAGAGGCTGGCAGCAAGGGGGGGTCAAAAGGAAAAGCAGGAAGACGCGGGTGGGCTATGCCTTACAGAACTGGGATAGCCCACAGTTCCGCTCTTTTCACAACACTTCTAAATTTGACATGGGTCACTGGATTGTCCGGCAAAACAGGATCAAGTTACTGGTGGTTTCCATGGAGGAAACCTAGTCTGAAGCTATCCCCAAGTACAGGATGGCCAGGGTGAGCTCATAGCAACCCCAGTCGAATCACTGGTTCAAAAAAAAACAGTTGGCACCGTGCCCATTAAAGTGATATCCCCCTAAATTACACTCTTTGTGCAAAGGGCAACCCTAAACAAATGTTGAGAACCCCGCGCAATGCAACCGACCCATAACCTCCCCCGCAAAAATAAGAAAGGAACACGTATATACATGCGTACACATGGTATATACGTGTGTAGATGATAGATGGCATATTTAACATAACAGCACACACACACATATATATATATATATACACGTACATACACATATTTATACACATTGTGACCTCTGCCGTTGCGTCCAGAGGGTCTGGATGCGAAGCCCACCCCCCGGACTGCCGCTTGCCCGGTTCCGCCATGGCGCCACCAGGGCGCGCTGGCCCTCCCCGGCTTCGAAGCTCAAGGTGCCGCTCGCGGGCTCGTAGGTCTCCCAGGCCTAAGAGACGAGAGATGCGATCGGTGCGAGAGATGCAGGGAACGAAAGGGTTGAACCTGGGGGTTCCCTAAAAAACCCGGGGATTCCCTTAAACGAAGCCATAGGTGATGGTTCATAGGAGTTAGTTTAATTGGAATGAGACATGGAATGAACCTGGGGATTCCAATAGAAGGGCATTCCCTGAGGGGAAAGGAAACCATAGGGTTAATGAACCTAGACCTAGGGTTAAAGAATGAGAGGGTTGGCATGACCCTGAGGATTTATGGGTTCCTTTAAGGGAATCCCCAGGTTCATTCCATTTCTCATTCCCTGCATCTCTCGCACCGAGCGCAAGGAGAGTCGAGGACTCACTTCCCATCGGCTGGGTCCAACACATCCCCACGAGGATCCGACCTTTTTTGCTACTGTACTAGGGCCTACTAGGGGGATTGCGGCTAAGTGGGGGTATAAGCCAACCTGGCCAGAACCTTCCTTAAGCCGTTTCCCAATCATAAGTGGGAGGGCATCTGGAAGATCAGTTTCCTCTTGCAGCGTTGTTTTTTGGGGTGCCATGGCAACGTGGGAGAGAGGGTACCACTGCAATTGTCTTCCCCAAGAGTGACTAAAGTCCAATTCAGAAAGTGAGGGGTTGGTCTTCAGACATGGGTGTCAAAAAACATAGAACCTGAGCGGATCTAAGATCATCTTGAGAGCACCCCTATGCAGGTTCCATGTGTTCTTTGGGGGGATTACTCTACTCAACCTGGGTTGCTCCCCCCAAAAAAAGGGGGAAGAATTCTCACACTTTAATGGGACCCCTCATCCAAGTCTGGGGGCTGATGACAAATGGCCCTGACTTCAGGGTGGCTTGGTGCCTTCTGACCCGGAAGCCTTCCAAACCGAAGGCGCTTGTTGTTGGATTCCCTGGGGGGGGGTCATGTGGATGAACGAGATCCATTTCGCACCACCTAAGAAAAAAAACATGGTATCTGATTCGATTCCCTTGTAAATACCAACAAACGTAACGGTTTCAACCATGATTTCAAATTTCAAAGTGGTGCGAATTGGATTTCGCAACCATCCACAGTATGTTGGATTCAGGACGACTCATTTAGCGCTTAGGCCAACCCATGCTTAGGTCTCGCGAGGAAACCGATCCCAACACCCACCGATCCGCTCCCTTGCCTTGCCGGAAGCGTCCTCACGGCGTTGGGGCGCTGGGTTTTGCGTTGGTTTTTTTTGAGCAAACGGGGCGTTCCGTTTTTTTTTGTTTAAAGGGGGACCCACAAAATGACGGTGGTCCTTTTGAAATTCCTGAAAACCATCCCCAAAAATGGTGTGCTCAAAAATGTCAGGGAAAGGATGATAGCATTGTTTGGCTTGAGGTCCCATGCTTTGAGTGGGCTAAAAGGAGTCTGTTTTGCCAAACTGTCTGAAAGTTAAATGGCAACCCTGCCCTAAGATCTGAAATATAGGCCTCGGCCCGAACGTGGGCTGCTTTGCTATTGCTGTGTTGTCCCAAGTTTCGACTTGGTGCAAAGCCACGGAAATATTTCACAGCACTTGGCCCAAACCTCCAGTGGCCCAAGGGGCAGAAAGTAAATCCGCCTAGCGGTCTCCCAACCCTTTCAACTGAGGCACTGCTATCTCAAAAGAAACGCCCAGGACTCGCGGCCCGGGACACAAGATATCCCCGGCAAAGCCGCCTTTTCCACCTTTTCCCCGCGCAAATCAAGGCCTTGGGGGAAAGAACCTCCCCTCCAAAGCGCTTTCGTTCTTTTTTCTCTTTTTTGCCAGCTGCGGCTCACCATAAGGGGGAGGGGGTGGGGTGTCCACGATTCCAGTTCTCTAGTCTTCCCCTTACAAAGGAAGTGGAACTAGAAATGGAATTGCAGGGGTCACCCCCCTCCCCCAATTCCATATTTAAGGGGGTGGGGATTTTTGGGGGCCCAAGAACTGCTGCCATCCCGTCCTTCGTGGACCACCGCACTTGCGAGGGCTTCGACTGGTCTCCTGGCAAGCTGCCGCCAAGCTGGCAAGCTGCCAAGCGGGTGACACCAGCCCACCAAAGAAAACCTGTGGTGCGGTTTTTCGTGCATCCCCTACCATAAAGGAAAAGAGAACCAACAACAACCAACAATAATAATACTATAATAGGAAGAAAAAAAACATGCCAACAACAACGAAGAACAAAACCAAGTGTGTGGTTTTCGATCATTACAACCGGAACCTAAGAAGAGCATTGCCCCAAGGCTGCATCCTGGAGACTTCTTACACAAGTCGGAAAGCTCAAGGACGAGCACCTTGCAAGAGCAAACCATCATAAACACTTGGGACCCAACTACTTGCTTGCCCGGCTCTGGCATTTGTTGGTGAGCCCCTACTAGTACCAATGCACAAGAAAGCTGAATGACACCAAGGCCAGCCACCTAGTGGTAGCTTCGGATCAATCCGTGGCCACCCTCAAAAGCAAAAACACACACACCAAGAACATATATGAAACACGCCAACCAGAAAACATTCCGCCCCACGCCAATCCAAACAAACTAAACCAAACCAAAATCAGCAACTGGAGGGTTGCCACTACAATGTTGAAAAGCAACGCATCCTGCACTTCTTGTTCCCATAGTTTTACTAACATCTTGAGGGGAGAGTGCGGAGGGACAACAAATGTCCCCAACGCAATGATTGGCAATGATTTGCTTCAGCTTCCACGCCCTCTCCCCTGCAAAACAAAACAAACAAACACACTGCAACGCTAACTGGACTGCAAACTCAAGCCCAGCAGCACTAAAATACCATGGCAACTCAAATCCGGCAAAACTGCATCAAATGGAGCCTCAAAAAAGGCCCCAGGAATGCTCCATGATGCTATCCAATTCTAAACCTTTTTGATGTGGTGGGTGCTCGTCTTCTTCAGGGGGCTGATTGTTCATGCGAGGGGGAGGGACCGATTCATACTTAGCCATGAATTGTAAATGACATGAAAGCAAGCAAAAGCCCAACAACTGCTAAAAAACAAAATTCAACTGATTGCGGGCCGTGTCATAGTCCTGCTTCCACTTTTGCTTACCCCAGAATCCTAAATCCGAGGGTCCTGGAGTTCCCCACGTAGGAGCTCAAGTCTGCCAGTATGTCACCCACATGCGGAGAAAAAGAAAAAAAAAAAAAACGCATTCGGTTTTTGGTACACTGGGAGACCTGCCAGAAAGGAAGCCCTTTCGGGGAGAAAAAAAACGAGGGAGAAAACAACGAATCGAGACATCCGCCCCTTGGCAGCGCCCCCGTCCTAAGCGCACCACGTCGAGCTTGGCAACGCCCTCCTCCTCATCCGCCACATAAACGTAGGCGGAAAACCTAAGAACATGGGCAAGCATTCCTGCCGCCAGCTGGCTGCATGACTCTCACAATACTTCCGAAACCTGAAAGAGGTTGAGTCCCCAGCAAAGAATCTACATGGTGAGCTCTTGTCATTTCTGGGGGGGGGTCTTTAGAGTACTTTGAAGAGAAACCACACATTTGGGGAGTTCCCCCCAGGATTCGGAATTGTGTGACATGGAGGCACGATTGCATACTTCAACTGAGGAACCTGAGCGGGCAAACCCGGGGAACCTTTTGGGATCATAAACCAGCCATACTCCACTCCCATTTCCGCAGATTCCAATGAGGAAAGAGCACCGGCATGCCCTCCTGTTCGAGGCCAGCTTTCGCGAACAACAATACCATGGAGATTCATGCGAAGTTGCAGCCTGTGGTGCACCCACTAGACTGTTTTCGGCCAACCCCAAAAATGTGTGTGGTCCAAACAAATCGCAGCGACCATGGTTGCCGAGGGAACCAATCTTCATACGTACCCCCTTCTCTGAGCCGATTGCCATTCTGCCAAGGCTCTGCACGATGGGCGCCGATTTTGCGAAAGGCTTCACCTCGGCCTTGGCCTTGACATCGCCCACGGTGCTCTCACTGTTCTGAAGCCTTCGGCTGAATCAAAAAAGAGCGAGAGTCATGCCCCCTTGGTTGATGGCGAGGCCCTTGCGCAAAGAGTTCGGTCCAACTTGGACAATCCGACCTGCTTCAACTACCGCGTTAAAGTCCATGATCCGTTACCAACTCGCCATAAAAGGCCTGTCAGGATGACCTCAGACGCATTGCAAACTTGAAACGCTGTTCCATGTGAACAAAGTATTTATACGGCTTTACAAGCTTATGTTGCAGGTGGTGTACAACAAGACCCATACCTGAAAACCCCTTGACAACTTGGATGTGCACGGTGGGGTAGGTCGTAACCTCGGCTTTGCTGGTGGGACTTAGATAAAATATCCAACCGGGGGTGGGATGCTGTCTGGTTCAATGGATTAATAGTGGGTTTTCCAGGATTTTCCCCGTGGCTTCCCAGGCCAACCCAAAAGAGTACCCTCAAAAAAAGCCTCCCCCCCTCCCCCCGCATTTGTTCAAACGAATTCCTTGTAGTTTCCCCTTCAAGTGGATGCACCGCCCCCCCCCCTCACGCACGTGGCAAGCTCAAAATGGTGGACACCATTTTTTTGGTTGGTATGAGAAGAAAGCCAAAAAGGAAACCAACCATTTTAGAGATGGGGACTGTGGCACGCAGAATAAGACGGCCGACGTAGAGTCAGCCTCTTTGTGCCCAAAGGACTTTGGCTACCTACGGCTCCTGTCCTGACGACGCCAATCTGTCTGTGGAGACAAAGGGGCTGGTTTCAGGCGTCCCTCCAGGGCACGGAGCGAATCTGCTGCACGGCCCGATTCGACGTCTATACCCTCCTTCTGACATTGAGAGTGGTAGCTACGGCCGCCCCTTTTTCTTAGGGGTGCACAGCCCCTTCCGAACCCCAAAATGTGGTCAGAAATGCCCAAAACGCCAGTTCTGAATTGCTTGCTGTAACATGCTGCCAATTGCTGGTGGCGGCACCTCTTGAACACCCCTTCTCCGTGCCAACGGATGAATGTGCACATCCAAGTATGAAACCATGGCCATTTGGCGTCCAAAAGTGGATGGTTCAACAATGGCTGGGGAAATGTGTCCATCAATCCCTTATCAGGCTTCATACCAGAGATTCATGCGACGCACGCATTCCCTTGACTTTGATCCACCCATCAGGCACTTTGAAAGAGACCTGAAACGGGAGGTTCTCTCATGTTCCCTTGGAGAGGGAATCCAACCAAAGCTGCCAACCGTTCAACCCCACAAAAGCGAATGTACCGCAAAACATCTGCGGGGCAGGACCTTAAAACGACCAGGCTTCACATAAGTCCTTCTAATCCCCCTGTCTTGTTCTCTTGAGGGTTAGGACCCCATTTTATTAAAATAAAACTGGGGGGGGGGGGGGGGGGGGTAACTGTTTTTTCCAAAATAAAATGCGGGTGCTAGCCCTTACAAAAGTTACCGAGTAGGAGACCCGCGAGAAGAAAAGGTTAGCCCCTCGGCGAACATAAAATGGGTGTCGGGAAAGAGGTTGCAAACTGAAATGGCCATGAGGCTGACCCCAAAGACTAACCCCTGTGGCCGAGCCTAAAATCTTCGGGGGCTAACCTTTCCCCAGCCTTACTCTCAGATTCACTGTGCTTAACGTTAGCATCGCCAATTTTATACTTAGTATTGCCAAGACTTACTCTCAGACTCCCCGTGCCTAATTTAGCATTGCCAGTTCTAGATTGAAAATATCCGAGGCTTACTCTCAGATTCCCAGTGCTTAATTCAGTAACGCAAATTTTAAATCGAGACCTGCCAAACCTCACTCTGAGATTCTCACTACTTAATTTAGTATTGCCACTGTTAGTATAGCCAAGAGACTTGGTCTCAGATTCCCAGTGCTTGAGAAAAGATAGCCAAGACTTATGATTTAGTATTGCCAATGTGAAATTGAGTATTGCCAAGCCCCCAAACAAGTTTGACATTAAAGCGAACCGCGAAACAGTCAGATTCAACAGAATCAGGGCTTCATGTGTGACTGTTTGGCCTCTATTTTGTATAAAGATGTTCTCTTACACTTCATTCGTTGGGGGGCACCAAAAAAGAATTCCTATTGCTTGCCCGGATTTGTTTGCCCGGATGGTTGCCCGATTTGTTATGCTGGCCCCCTTTAAGCGACCCCAATCACAAAAGCGGGTCCCATCTTAGTGGTAATGGCAATAAGGGAATCTGGGGTTTTGGACGAGGGTGACAAATTGTACATGTACCTTGTCTCAGCGACCTTAGATTCCCACAAGTTCAGTGCTGCCAACAGTCAATTAAGTATTGCCACCACGTAGTCTCAGATTCCAATACTAAACTTACAGTATAGCCAATCAGAGTTGATCTTCCAGATCCCAAAATTGCCAAGACATACAAGATTTAGTAATGCCAATACTTGTCCCTAAATTCCGAAAACTGAATTCAGCGCTGCCGATACTAAGCTTAGTATTGACAATACTGAATCTTAGGTTCACAATGCTGAATTCAGCATTGCCATTGTTAAACTTATCATTACCAATACTGAATCTTGCCAATACGCAATCTCTAATCCCTATGTTTGCCTAGGTTGCCAAGAAAATGTGGGGTCACTATGACGAAGCACAAGCAAACAATAACATGACTCACTTGCCCGAAATAAAATGACTCCCTTGTTCAAACATAAAATGGTAGGACCTAGCCCCCAAACCCAAAGTCTGAGTCTGTACTAAACTTTTTGGGCTTGGGCTAGCCCCAAAGGCTGCCTACCTCAAACGCAAATAAAAAGGGGTCGACACAAAATAACATGAGGGTGCTAACCTACTCAGCCGAAAACCAGCCACTGAAAATATTCAAGCTTTCAGGGTGGTAACCCCCCCTATTAAAGTACAAACACGGCAGGGGATTTCTAGCTGGGAGAAACCCCCTCCCCCCAAAAAAAAACACATGAAGACCACAAGCACCAGTGCGATGGTTTGGGCTATCCATATCCCTAGCCTCACGTGGGAATCTGTTTGCCCAGGAAACTGCGGCTGGCTCTCCAAGGGCTGGAAGGAGGGCATCGTCCTGGCCATCTCCGCACAGCTCTTCTCCACCGCCTCGCTCGCCGCCGGGGCGCAGGCCCGGAAGAGTCGGGTTCCCGAAACTGTTCCGAAATCGATGTTGACGTTGGAAGGGGAGCCAAAAATTGAGAACCGAAAAGCAGCTACAGTAAGTGGTTGGATTTCAAACACTAAACCAGAAGCAAACATGTGAAAATTGCTTCCCGACAACAACCATGAAAGGGGGCCGTTTCGAGGGGTCAGCCGGCAGGTTTTGTTTGCTTGGTACGGGAGGCTTCTGGCAACCAATTCGTAAAACACATGTTGAAGCGGTGCCGATCTCCTCGCAAACACGGATCCTTTGGATCCGAAAGAAAGAGTCCCAAAGCAGGCCAGGTCTTCAATCCGGGTTCCTCGCGACTATCAGGATGACCATCCCTGCTAACCCTAGGCCTCCGATTGATCAAACCGCGAGCTGCTCAGCCGTTCGACCGCTCGATGTCGGTGGCCTGCCCCACTTCTGGGTACATCTTAACAACCCCCTTTGGGGAAAGGTACGCCAAGGTACGCAACAGCATCTCGGAGTACACTTCGAATTGTTAAGCAATGTCAGGTGACACAAAAAAAAAGGCCCGTCGTTTGGACTATTCAATGCATGCGGAAACTAATTCCTCCAGTGCTTGCTTCATTTCTAGACAAGGATTCCTATCGAAGTATCCCAATTTCATACTGTCTATGCACTGCGTCTCCTTCCATTTCTTTGTGCGACAGCCCTTCGAAAAAGATCGACTTTTGAGTTGGGAGCTACAGGTGAAGGCTTGGTAATTACTCTGGCGGATTGAAGATCAGCCCACAATGACCCAAATCATGGAACCCACGGTGACCAAGAAAACACCAGGGAAACCTTCCACAGTGCCACATGTCCCGAGGTTCTGTGGCTGGAGTTGGTTGGTCCACTTGCAAAAGGAAATGGAAAGACATAACAACCGCAAAGCGCGTCACAAGGTTCCTTGCATTCCAGAGAGAACTCACTTTTGGCCCAAAAAGGCGATGCTTGAAACCACTTAAGCCTCCTAAAATGATGGAGTGCAAACGGACCGTTTCCGCAGCGGGAGCGAGCGCTGGATCCGCGGACTGGGGCGTCCGCGAGCACGCGCTGGAAGATGCCAGGCCGCGCACGCGCCAACTGCCCCAGCAGCTGAAACACCTGGAGTCGTTCCATTTTTTAGTGCCCCAAGGTAGACTTAAAGCTAGGGCTTTCCCTTTGGGGAAATCAACCACCTGTGTGTTTCAGCCTACTTTGGGTAGTCAAACAATGGAATCTGCCTGGAGTTGCGTTCTTCCAATGATACATTCGGATATGAGGCTACCTGCCTGACTGGGACATTTTGGGGCAAAGAGCCAAC